GCAGGAATCTGGGGACACCTTTCACCCAGAGGAAATGCTCCTGGCCTGTTGTGGCCCACCCTGGGTGCCCTCATACGTGCAGCTCAGCTCAAGGGAGAGTGTGAACTGAGATGCCAGCAAGTGGTGGCCTAGGAGGAGGAAACATCTTTCCAAATCCTGAGCCTTCTTGCCCTCCAAGGTACTCTTGAGAAAGAAAGACTCAGGCCTTTAACCGCCTTTACTCTAGTTACAGGCTTTCACCAACCTGCTGACTGCTGCTTCTCTTATACACAACGAAGCATCCGATGTTCATTCATGAAAGCTTATTTTGAAACAAGCAGTGGGTGCTCCAGGCCTGCTGTCATGTAAGTGCCAAACTCACTGACCATGGTTTGGAGGAGAGGAAGCCTGCAGAGTCTTAAGTGGAGGACCTATTGGGTGGGTGTCCAGAAAGTCCCACCCTCCAAGTCTTACCAGGTAAGAGATAGCTTGTGTCCTTGCTAGGATCCTGCAGGAATGAGATGCTCCCCATGGAGGGAAAGGTGAGGAAGGAAGAAGAGAACAGGCAGAAGGCTGCCCAAGGGAATGAGGGCCATATGGCTGCACCATCTGTCACCCCACAGATCTTCAGAGTTGATTCAGCTGATCTAGATGGCTAAGCAGGTATCCCCTTCCTCCCTCATTGCTCCATGTACATGAAGAGAAGACTGTTCTTTGGCCAAAGACATAGGAGAAACTCTACTCCCCTCCTAGAATTTCCAAACAAGCTCTCAAGGCTGCCCAAGGACACTCCACTGAGTCACTAAGGAGTATCTCAAAAGCTGAAGGGAGGTCTCAGAGAAGAGATTGGCCCTGAGCTACCTTCAGCAAAGAATGGAAAAAACAGACTGTGTTGAGTTGGGAATTTGAGAGCAGGGAGGATGGAGTTCTCCATCCCTATTTGCTGAACACATCTCAGTTTGTAACCTTCTCCCTCCCTTATTCCCCAGCTTCCTCAACAAGATAGGGAAACGTGTATGTGCTGACCCCAGCAATGTGAAAGTTCAGGATTGCATGAAAACACTGGGGAAGCAACCAATATCCAAGAACCCAGGAACAATGCAACTTGCTTGAGGAAGAGACAAAATGTGTCAGCCACTCCACCTCCAACTCTCTTGCCCCAACACCTCTTATGAGTTTCTTGGTCTGTATTTAGTTTAAGTACATAAATAAATAAATTTCTGGTCTGGTTGTAAACATAATGCATTTAATAAAGTTTTCAACTTGCCTTTGCTTGAATTTTAAGAAGAAATAAGCTGAAATATACTGAAGGAATTGTTGAATTCCAAAGAGATTAAAAAGAAGTTCACATTATGTCTCATCTCTTCCTATCTACTGAAGTAGTTAATAATCTTTAAGGCTTAGCTGCATTTTCAGAAAGTAGTTTGCATTTGCTCAAATTTCACTTCATTTAAGTTTACTTAATATTTGATCCATGATAATCCCTGTTTTTCTCATAATTTCCTTTTTTTTCTATTAACCAAAAGACTTACCTTCATTTCATTATCATTCTGTATTTACACTACCAGTTTCACACCATTTGTTTCATAGTACCTACCTTATTCTTGGAGTAATTCTTCAAGGACCTTCTTTTTCTGTTTTTTAAATTTTGCAACAGGGTACATACACTCGCTGGAGAGAAACAGAGAGAAAGGAAGTGAGAAATTACTCTCCCTGGGACATGGTCACACTGCCATCTTTTCTCCTCCTTTTTTCGCTCCTGTCGGGATTTGGAGCATGCATGTACACACACTTACTGTGTCTTTCAAGCCTCCAGGTCTAGGACTTGAACTCTGCAAGTCAGCCATATGAGATTCAGTCACCTTAACCAACATGCCCCAGGCCAGCTCTTTAAGGACCTTCTAATTTCCTATTCTAACTTGGAGTAGGGTTTTCTGGACCTGTCAAAAACAGTCAATGAGATATTTTTCTCATTGCACACCTGAGCTCATTCCATCAGGATATGTAGCCCATGGCTTCCTCTTCCTTTCGTTCTTTTTTCATCTTGCTAGTATATATCCTTGAATTGCCTCCTATTGCATCTTTTATAAATGATGACAAAGGTAAACACTGCCTTTAGCCCCATGGGAACCAAGGCAGGCACACCCTACCCTGACTGGGACAATCTGGTGCTCTCTTCCAAAGCATTGAGCCTGGAACAAGTGTAGCAGGAAAGAGGAAAAAAAGAAAGGAGTCCATGGGGACCAACAAGTTAGCATAATGGCTATATTGCTGGATTCCCATGTAGTCGACCACATTTTGAGTCCTGGACCCAATGGCTTAAACTCACACCGGGCGTGTGTGTGTGCGTGCCCAAGATCCCGAGAGGAGAATGGAGGAGAAGGAATTGCAGTGTGGCCATCCCCCCTGGGGAGTGATTTCTCACTTTCTGTCTCTCTGTCTCTCTTTGTCTGTCTGGCGAGCACATGCGCCCTATAGCAAAAACCTCTCAAAAAAGAAAAAAAAAAAAAAAGAAAGAGTCCACTCACCTGACAACGAGGGTGGCAATGGGTTTCAGATTTTGGAGGCAGCAATGCTGGCATCCTGTGACCAGTACTCGAGTCAATATTCCCCCTTTGCAGTGCTCAATAAAGGCAGCATTGTTGCAGAAAAACAGATGGCCAAGGGACGAAAAACGCAGCACTCTGGAGAGAAAAGAGAATTCTTTCATTACATCAGTGGGCATAGAGTTAACACTCTGAATCTCTGGCACCCCTTAGGGGTTAAGCACAGTATTTTATTGGGGAATTTAGGGAGTGGCGGTTCTCAGTGGGCTAAGGGTATCCCATCAGGAAGAAGCAGCCCATCAGGAAGATGCAGCAGAATTTGTTCTCAGGAAGAAAGGGTCAGATAAGCAGGGTGTCCAGCTTCTTAAGGTCTCAGATTGCTTTTTATCATTCCAGAGGAAGGGAGGCAGAGGCAGTGAATTCACAGAGACCTGGGAAATGTTGGCAATTGCCAGCCTTGGGCTATTGTGAGTTCCGGGCCCATCCACATATGCATTATCCACAGAAGTTGGCCCCTGTGGCACGATTATGTCTGTGGCAGTAGAGGTAGTCTCTCCAAGGGTCTATCCATTTTCTAAGCCTTCTTGATAATTCTGTGTGCCACCCAAAGTCTTTGCAATAATTTTATTTTTTGCTTAAATCAAAATCAACTTGAGTCAGTTCCTACGGCTAAAAAAAAAAAAAAGGCCTAATTAAATAATAAGCTTCCTGGGACTTTGAAGTTCTTTAAATTTTATAATGGTTCAGCTGAATATGAACGTCCACATTCCAAATCATTTTCTCTCAGAACACAGTAGATATTTATCAGTTGTCTTATAGCATGTCATAAAATGCCAAAATTCTAAAGTCAGTTGAGTTCTTATTCCTTTGTTTAAAAAAAAAAAAAAAATTTTAGACCCTCTGTGAATTTTTAGAATTTTTTCAATCCTTGCTGCTCAGACATTTTTACCAAAATGTGTCTTTTTTTTATTAACTCTATGCCTTTAATTAGCTTTTATCTAAGATTCAATATTTATTTTAACCTGAGAAAATTTTCTTCTGTTGGTCCTCCATTTTTTCCCATCCATTCATACAGTTCTTCTTTTTTTCTTTTAGAGAGAGAGAGAGAGATTTTTGCTATAGGGTACATGTGCTCGTCAAAGAGACAGAAAGTGAGAAATCACCCCCCTCCCCCCCGGGAGGATGGTCACGCCACAATCCCTTCTCTATTCCCCTCTCAGGATTTTGGGCATGCACGCACATGTGCTGAGCATGAGTTTTAAGCCGCTGGGTCCGAGACTCAAACCGCAATTGACTGAGAGTTCAGCAACGTAGCCATTTTGCCATCTGCTGGTTCCACATTCATACAGTTCTAACTTTCTGGAACTACTGGTGAGTATTGGATTTTATGCACCTATCTTTCATGAGTTGTATCTTTTCTCTCACACTTTACACTTTTTATTCTGTCTGATAGAAAATTTCTTTGATTTTTAGTCATGTTCTTTCTATATTTAATTACTGAGAATTCTTTGCTTATCTTGAAATATTTCTTTTTTATAGTAAGCTGTTATTGTTTTATAGATGCAGTATCTTCTTACATTTTTCTGAGAATAAAAATTGTAACAAGTTGGAGCCAGAAGGTGGTATAGTGGTTAAGGTGCTGGACTCCCACATAGTCAACTGTGGCTTGAATCCTGAACCCAGTGGCTTGAATCTCATGCCAGATGTTTATGCATGCATGCTCAAAATCCCAAGAGTAGAAAAGAAGGGATTGTGATGTGGCCATCCCTACTGGAAGGTGATATCTCACCTTCTATCTATCTGTCTCTCCGGCAAATTCATGCACACTATAGGAAAAAGGAAAAAAGAAAAAAAAAAACCTCAAAAAAAAATTGTAATGAATTTTTCTTAAGTTCTTTTTTATTCTGCTGATTCTTCTGGAGTGCTTCTGTTTGTCTTGGTTCTTTTTTCTTCCTGAGCTATTAGTAATTATTGAATGCCTGTTTATCATTGGTTTTCCTTTTCTACACTTAGAAATAAATGAAGGACTAGGTTTTGGTAAGGTGTGGATTTTCTCTGTGGTTCTACGTGAATGTATCCTACCTACATGCTTGTTCCCTGGAAGCTTGATTTTAGAATAGAGGGATGGGCAGGAGATGGTTGGAGAGATGAGGTAAAGCATAGGTGTATACAGTTTAATCAAGCATCCCAGGCGATTCTTATACAGGTAAATAGAACCTTGCTTAGAGATAACTGTTTCAAGAGATGTGGGTAAACAGGTAGGTAGCCTAGCTGGTGGGCCTCTGCAGAGAAAGAATGCCTTAGTATAGTTCACTCCTTCCAGGATACCTTTCTTTTCTCCCTAGGACGCTATTCTCAGCATAAGTAAAAGTCTCTAGTTCCCTGGTTATAAATGCAGGCTCTGATTATAAGAGTCCTGGCTTTAGTGAATTAGGAGGAGGAAGGGGTGACTGGCCAGGCTTTTGCTGAGGTTGTCAGCTTAATTCCTGGGGGATGTAGTAATAGGATGTGGGTGGAGCTTCTTGCCCTTAGCCAGAAGTTATCCAGAGCACTGCTCAGTTCTCTCTCTGGCCCACTGTTTCCTTTGGACAAGTCCCACAGCAGAAATCCTTCCTTATTTAGAGAATTGTGCTTTTAGCTTTACCCTGGGGCAAACTCTGCACCTAAAACTGTCCCAAAATGGGGACTGGCAAGGCTGCCACTCATTCATTCATCCCAAGCTTTAACTCCCAGGACCTGCTGACTCCGATCTTCAGGTTATCCAGGATCCTGCTGCGAAAAATCCTCTTTTTCAGTGGTCGTTTCCCTCACCTACATGAGGATACACATTTTTTCAGGTTTCTTGTAATTTGACATCAAGCTGACCCATGTCCTTTAAATAGAATAGAAATGCCTCACCTTCCAATAGGCAGATTTAATCTTTTCTGACTTCCTGTTGCTACTATGAATTTATTTTTATTTCTGTATTCCTTCTGTCATTTCAATGGGATTTAGAGAGATGAAAAAGGCAAACACAGATGCTCAGAGTTCCGGCCTATATTTTGATCCATTTATCATCTTTCTTGTTGCTCTCATTACTTCACTGAAAATTGTTAAGTTCAGAAGCTTAGCCCACTAAGGCCTAAATATATAACTGGGAGATAGCAATCTAGAAGTTTCTGAATTCTCCATGAAGATTTTGTTTCAGAGTCTTCAGGAAAATCTCAAAGGATGTTGGATTAAAGCTGTGCTAGACCTGGGGACAGCAGGTGGCATGGTGGTTAAGGTACTGTACTCCCACATGGGAGTACTTGACTATGGTTCAAGTCCCAGACTCCGTGGCTTGAAAATCATGCTGGGTGTGTGTACATGTGTGTGCAAAATCCTGAGAGAATGAAAAAGGGATTGTGGCATGGCCATCTCCACTGGGGGCGGTGATTTCTGACTTTCCCTCTCTCTGTCTCTCTCCAACGAGCATGTATGCCCTATGGCAAAAACTTAATAAATAAATAAATAAATAGATAGATAGATAGATAGATAGATAGATAGATAACAACTATGCTAGCCCTAAGGGGAATATGTATGGTTTCACTGGAGTCTCTGACAGGTTAGCTCAGAACGAGACGGAGGGAGAAGGTATGAATGATATGGATGCTAGAGGGACAGATGTCCCCTTATCAAGGTGTTGGGTAATGACAATGGCAGCTCAATAGAAAAGAGGGTGAAAGCCAAGACTTATCATTCTAATAAAGCATCTAGCCTCTCATAGATTGGAGAGGACAAAGGCATGTTCTGTCAAGTGAACTAACTACATAACGCTCACATACTCTATTTCACAGTTCCTTCAAGAGTGTTCTTTTTTGCTTCCTTGCTTTGTGTAGTAGCCTCTGTCAGAAATACCCTCCTCTCAACTCTTCCCAGCAAAACTCAACCCAACCTCAAGTGTCTGAATTAGGTGCTACCACAAAATCTTTCCTCATCATCACAGACAGAAGGACTCAGCTCCCTTTCTCTGAAATCTAAAAAAAGCTATTTATTGCCACTCAGATTATTATTGAGTGGCTACTTTATGATATTATTGTGCTAGGCATTAGTAAAAACCATGAGAACAAAATATACTAGATTGGTGCCCTTTAAGAATATTGCAGCCCAGGGGCCAGCAGGTGGCATGGTGGTTAAGGGCATTGAACTCCCACATGGCCAAGTGCAGTTCGAGTCCCGGACCTGGTAGCTTTCTCTCTCTCTCCTCTCTCTTCTCTCTCTCTCTCTCTCTCTCTCTCTCTCCCTCATCAAATTAAAATAAATAAATAAATGAAGTTAAATAAAATAATTCTTTTTAAAAAATAAGAATATTGCAGTCCATAGAGAAGACTGGAGATAAAAATAAGATATGGGGGACCAGCAGATGGCATAATGGTTACATCGCTGGACTCCCATATAGTCAACCACAGTTTGAGTCCCAAACCCGGCAACTTAAAAAAACTCATGCCGGGTATGTGTGCGTGTAATGGCCAAGATCCCAAGATGAGAATAGAGTAGAAGGGATTGCAGCATGACCATCCCCTCTGAGGGGCAATTTCTCATTTTCTGTCTCTCTGCCTCTCCAGTGGGTGCACACTCCCTATAGAAAAATCTCTCAAAAAAGAAAAAAAATGGAATAAGATATGGAGCTAGCTCTGTAGCTGAAGATCAGGTTGGGGAGCAGGGTCCCACAGGACTAACCACAGTTCGAATCCTGGACCCAGCTGCTTGAAAAACATGCCAGGCACAAATATATGCATGCCCAAAATCTGGACAGGATGGTTAAATGAAAGAGAAGGAATTGTGGAATGACCATGCCCACGGGGTGTATGTGGTGGGGGGGGCCAGGGGAAGGTAAGGTGCTTTCTCCCTCTGTTTCTCTCTCTCTCTGGTGAGCACACATGTTCTCTGGCAATAAAAAAAATTAATAATAAAAAATTAAAAAAAGAAGATGACATGGCACTTTGAACCAGCTGGTGGTGGGATGATTAAGGTGGCGAATCTCACATAGCTAGCTACATAGTTGGAGTTCCAGACCCAGTGACTTGAAAAACACGTAGGGCACGTGTGTGTGTGTGTGTGTGTGTGTGTGTGCCCAAAATCTCAGATGGAGAATGAAGGAGAGAGATTGCAGTGTGGCCATCCCCACTGTGGGAGTGCGTTCTCAATTTCTCTTTGTCCCTCTCTGGTGAACACACATACCATCTAGCAATTTTTATTAATTAATTAAAATTAAAGCAAATTGTGCCAAAACAAAAACAAAAAAGATATGACGTTTGTGTGTAAAAATTGCATTTAAATTATTACTAAATTTCCAAATTATTATACAACACTGGAATGAAAAAGATGGGGCCATTCGTAGGAAAATCAGCCTGGGACTCAAATCTTCCTTCTCCCCCATGCCTTAAATAAACTATCCAGGAGCCAAAGAGACCAAGGTACTGAAGCACACCAGTTAGAAAGCTGTATTAGAGTAAGGGCTTCTGAAACTTCAGCACGTACAAGGATCATTAGGAGGGCTTGTTAAAACACAGAATGGTGGGTCTTAGCCACAGACTGTGGTAATGTTGAAGAATCAGCATTTCAAACAAATTTCCAGGTAATGCTGATGCTACAGGGCAAAGAGGAAATTTAAAGAGGAACTTTCACTCTTGACTTCATAACTTCACCATTATGATTTGCTTATTTATTTAAAAAGCACGCATTGCTTTAGTAACCGAAAATAATTCAAGAGTTGCAAAAATTAATCTTCTTTTTTTTTTTCAGGGACAGACAAAATATTCACTTATGTTGATGTTTGATGTTTTTTCTTTATGATGAAGTATATCAAAGCTGCCTAATTATAAAAAATATATACACACAATTGGAAAAAAATCTAAATAAATAAGTTTGACAATCAATTCTGAATCTTTTTCCCTATGAAAGAGAGAGAGACAGAAAAACATAGATATGCACAGACAACCCCAAAGATTCTTCAGACAGTGATCCATCCCCAGTCTTAGCCAGCTCAGATCACAGACAGAATGCATGCCTGGCATGCTCAGGAAGGCCTCGGGACTCAAGTCAAGGACCTCTTCTATATGGGTCCAGTAGTGTTATCACTACATTACCTTCTGGCCCAATTTTGATTTTTTTAATAAAAATCTTGAAAATTGTGAAATATCATTAGAAAAAAATGTGCTTAAAAGGTTTAAAACAGGGGCCAGAAGGTGGCATGAAGGTTAAGGCACAGGATCCCACATGGCTGACAGCATGGTTCAAGTCCCAGACTAGACAGCTTGAAAATCATGCCAGGCAAGTGTACATGCATGCCCCAAAATCCCAAGAGGAGAATGGAAGAGAAGGACGTGAGGCATGGCCATCCTCCCTAG